TTTATTATATATTTACTTGCTCCTTCCTTCCCCCCTCTCACTTTCCCTCCCTCCCTCCCTCCCTTCCTTCTTTCCTTCTTCTTTTCCTCCCTTTCTCCCTCCCTCATGTTCTTTTCTTTCCTTTTGTTCATCTTCCCCACCAACAGAGTCTGGATCATGTCTTCTTTACCTGTGATTAACATAGGACCTGGCATATAGAGGGTACTCAAATGGTATTTTTCTGAATAAGTGAGAAAATTGAGACCCAGAAAGGCCAAGTAGCATTTTTAATGCTATGCAGATACTGACAGAACCAAAGCCAGATCTATTTTTAGCTCATCTTCTGCCACTTTACCACATCGGTAGCATGGAATCAAAAACGATCCAAAGAATTTTACAATTAGTGTATGTGCCTCATTTTCTGTTACTGACTCCAAGTATAATCTATTCATACAATCACACAGGTAACACATTAGTGAAAGACTGCTTATTGTTTCATTGGGCTAAGGAGAAAAGTTTCCTGGTGACAGTTATCATCAAAGATATACTGTGTTGTAAAGAACCACGGGGTGTGATTGGGTGCTGGAGACCCCAAGAATGTGAGACGTGACCAACTCAATATACCTTTGGAGGCTATATGAGTAAACAGCAAACTTCTCAGGAAAGCAAATTGACAAACTGTGTTTGCCGCCAGAAGGCAGTCACTTCCCAGGTCCTGTGCTCCTTGTATCTGTGCTCCTTGAGGTTATCTACCTGACATCTGGAACCTGTTGAACAAGGAAAGCAGTCCTATGAACCTGTGATAAATCAAGTAGCTGACTGACAATCACTTCCTCCTCCCTATTCACTGTACTTAATAAATTAAAAGGGCTGTAAAAGCTCAGGGCCTTTGTTCACTAGAAGCAAACAGTCCCCTGAACCATTCTTTTAAACAGAACCTTTTGTCTTTGTCTTCAATTCTGCATCAGTCCTCCTTTGTTCATGAGATAACTACTGCAGTTGGGGTAGGATGGAGGCATTGCTCTATTGGTACAGTGTCTTGTATCAGGGAGGGATGGTTTGGTTGCAATCCTTCCTTCATTAGAGGAGAGATAAGGGCAAATATCATCAAGAAAACAGTAAGTTTTCAAAGTAGAAAATGCCGCATTTTCTAGTTGCAGATGCAAAGGCCAGGAAGCAGACAAAGTCAGAAAACAAATTGTCTAGAATGACCCACAGTGCTCTGGAGTACTTTAATGAGATTGGCCAAGGCTTGAAGCATCTCTTCTGGCAGCACCCCAGGAAGTCATCCATATCTCCACATGATGTGCAGAAAACTCAGGCAGATCTAGAACCTGAAATAGATTTGGGAAACCAGAACACATGTGCTGAAATTGAGAGTAGCCCCACCCCTCACCCCACAGCTCTGAATCAGTTCCTGCAACAAATCCAAGTACGATTCAAGATGAAGACAAGACCAATTTTTATGACAGGCAGAGCAAGCCAGAGGCCTGAAAGGAAAGTCCCCAAATCAGTAGGCAATACAGCCAGGAGACAGCAGCTATCAAGCAGTCAAGCCAGCCTTGGTCTTCTTCATCTGTGACTAATGTTCCTACCAGCTCAGCTGTGGTGGAAATAGCTTGTGCTGCTCCTACATGTCAACCAGGAGAGGAGGCAACTGCAGAACAGATGGAGCGTTTGAAAGTAAGCACTCCTGCTCAGACCTCTAGTGCAGTATCCACCAACACTGATGGCAACATCCACACAGACCTGATTGGTGGAACACCAGATGCTCAGTGAACAAAAACTGCTAGTTCTGCCCTGCAAGAGGAGATCCTGAAGCTTACAGAATAGACTGACATTGTACCAACAGCCCAAAGGATGATGTTGACAAGTACTTGAAGCTTGCCAACAGTGCTGGCAAGCAACAGGTGGTCCACATTAAACAGGTCTCTGAGAAGAACCCGAAATCTTCCCAAACCATCTTTCAGCTACAAAACAAGCTTGAGGACTATGATTGGAAGTTCCAGAAGGTGGAGCAGCAACCAAAGGACATCTTCAGGGATATGCACCAGGGTCTGAAGGCTATGGGAGCAAAGCTGATTGGCTTCAGTGAGAGTGTGGTTGATGATGTCAGAGTAGACTTTTTGGCTTCTCCTGGGCCACTCATTCAGTGATATGGGCTGTGGTCTCAAACCCTGGGGAGCACATTCCATTGATTTGGAGCACATTTGGCAGTGCAGGAGACAGCTCTAACCTGATGTCACAAAGAATCATGCAGCTTTAGAGCTGGAAGGGACCTTAGAGATGATGCCAAAGCTGAATCCAAGAGAAAATAAGCAAGTTTCACACCATCATACAGATAAGAGCAGAGTAGAAATATGAACTGTGTATTCTAGCCTTTTAACTGAATACAGAATGGTGGACTCTAAAATGAGATGTAAACGATCAACTGGCAAGCTGAATTGATAAAGCAAAGACTTTAAAATAAGGCCGAGGATTGATCCAGTGGACAAAATATGGGCCACTGCTAGTGCTTAATATTCCTCCACACAAACTAGAAAAGATGCCCCTTCTACTACGTGGACTCAGGCCACAGAAAGGCTATCAGTGTGGCAGGAGGCACATGGGCTGAGCTTCAGTCCCCACTCATCTCCTTGTCTGGGTTTTATGTGGACTACACTTTGCACTGCCTCACTCAGCAGACTGGTGAAGTGATGAGTTGTTTCAGGGAAGCCTGAGCAGATTGGAGGAGAGTGCAGAGTAGTTCATTAGCAAGGAATTAACTAGTTTTCCAATTTCTGTGACTCCAGGAAAAGATCAGTCTCTTCCCCAAATATCTCTCCCACTCACCATCAGGCTGCTAAAATTCTACTATGGGTCAATCCTAGGGCTTATAGCTTTATCACCATAATAAATGAAAAACATGTTTTGTAAAACAACTGGTAATCTTCTCTAACCAGTGTTAGAGAAGAACAGATGTGGAGTCACAGTCTACAATCTTTAAAAACTGGCAGCAAATAAATATTTACCAGTAGGTAAGAAATTGTGGTATATCCATATAATGGAATACTAAATTGAGCAACTAAAAAGGATGAGGTAAATCCATTATATATGCAATGGTATAGACAGAATATCACACTGATAAGTAGGTAAAGCAACTGCAGAAAATGATATAACATATATATTTATTTAAAACATGGTCTTGCTCTGTTGCTTGGGCTGGAGTGCAGTGGCATGATCAAGGCTCACTGCAGTCCCAACCTCCCAGGCTCAAGCAATCCTTCCACCTTAGACTCCCAAGTAGCTAGTTTTTATTTTTAGTAGAGACAAGGTCTTTTCTATGTTACCCAGGCTGTTCTCAAACTCCTGGGCTAAAGCAATCCTCCAGCCTTGACCTCCCAAGGTGCTGGTATTATAGGTGTGAGCCACTGTGCCCAACCTATCATTTTGTTTAATAAAAGTATATACAATCTCCTGATAGATATATACATATATATGAAATCCCCCTGATTTGTTCACTTCACTGAAGTAAAATATGAGATCACATTTCTTTTACCGTTCGGTGTAAATGACACTGAGCCTGTAAGTCAATCCCTTATAAGAACTGCCTTCTTGTTTTTACAATATCCTCCCAGGAAAACACCAAGATTCTCCCAGACACTTTTGTATCCTAAACCTTGTTCTGTTTGTTCTTGTATAGTAAATAGGAGTTGGAACTCAGAGGCACCACCTTGAACCTGGAAAACTTCACCTCTGCTATGTTACCTGGTTCCTCCATGATGTATAGCTAGGCTCTGTGGCTGTCACTGCTTAAACCACAAAACTCAGAGACTCTCATTAGAAGCCTCTCCTCTCTGAGGTTGCCTCTAATACCAGACTGCATTTTTCCTCTGTACTGAGTGTGTGCAAAGGGACCATTCTGGCTGATTTTCTGGCTAGAGTTGGCACTGACACTGCTGCCAGAAACCTGGGGTTCCAACGTGCTGCCAAAGCTTTTTTTGTTTTGTTTTCTTAGTCAGGAAAGAGGAGAAAAGTCTGGCCATGCAACCATCTTGCCTCACTAAGGCCATAGCAGTTCACTCCCCCGACCTGCTTTTCCATCTAGCCTCTTCATCCCTCCCTGTCACGTAACACTAGAAGATTTTTTCCTCCTGCAGACCCAAGGCCCACCATTTCCTGCCTAAATATGACTGAGACTCAGAATAACCACTGTCTTGTCCCCATGGGTTCCAACAGACAATCCTGCTGGAGAAAATTATCTGAGCTTGGAGTTACCTCAAAGCATGGATTGTTCCGTCTTCTACTTGGTTTCTTTGGTACATATACATAGAGAGTATACTTTTTTTCTTTTTGAGACAAAGTCTTGCTCTGTTGCACAGGCTGGACTGCAGTGGCACAATCTCGGCTCACTGCAATCTCTGCCTCCCAGGCTCAAGTGATTCTCCCACCTCAACCTCCTGAGTAGCTGAGATTATAGGTGCCTGCCACCACACCTGGCTAATTTTTATAATTTTAGTAGAGATGGAGTTTCACTATGTTGCCCAGACTGGTCTTGAACTCCTGGCCTCAGGTGATCCACCTGCATCGGCCTCCCAAAGTGCTGGGATTACAGGCGCGAGCTACCACACCCAGCCCATAGAGAGTATTCTAACTAACCATGTATGTCACTAGAATGTTAAACTAATGTTCTGGCACTGAGGTGGGTATTTTGAGCATTTGTGACTTTACAGTCTATTCTCTGTATTGGTTAAAATATATATGAACATATGCTAATATCATATTAATGAATTCTGTAAAAGGTTAAGACACTAAGTAGGAAAATATCTATACAAAAACTGCTAATAGTGGAATTAGCGATAAAAGTAAGCATGAGAATTTTTGGATTTTATACTTTGCATGGTTTGATATTGTTTTTACAATACATATGACTTTTGTGACTATAGACAAAACTTGAAGACATTGTGTGTGTTTGTGTTAGGCCATTGTTGCATTGCTATAAATAAATACCTGAGACTGGGTAATAAGAAAAGATGTTTAATTGGCTGACAGTTCTGCAGGCTTTATAGGGAGCACAGCGGCTCATGCTCCTGGGGGGGGGGCGGTGGCGGCAGTGGCTCAGGAACCTCAATCATGGCAGAAGGCAAAGAGGGAGCACTCTGGCACATCAGATGGTAAAAGCAAGAGCAAGAGGGAGCAGGGAGATGACACACGCTTTTTTTTCCCCCAAGACAGAGTCTTGGTCTGTCGCCCAGGCTGGAGTGCAATGGTGTGATCTCAGCTCACTACAACCTCCACTTCCTGGATTCAAGCGGTTCTCCTGCCTCAGCTCCCTGAGTAGCTGGAATTACAGGATGCACCACCATGCCCAGCTAATTTATTTGTATTTTTAGTAGAGATGGGTTTCACCATGTTGGCCAGGCTGGTCTCGAACTCCTGACCTCATGATCCACCCGCCCTAGCCTCCCAGAGTGCTGGGATTACAGGCGTGAGCTACCGTGCCCTGCCTGACATACACTTTTAAAGGACCAGATCTCACAAGAACAGCACCAAGAGGATGGTGCTAAACCATTCATGAGAAAGTCACCCCCATGATTCAATTTCCTCCCTCCAGGCCCCACCTTCAACACTGGGGATTACAATTTGACATGAGATTTAGAGGTACACATATCCAAATTATATCACATTGAAAATACATACATGATGTACTATGCGGAGTTAAACATTACACACACACATCCTTGTTCATGAAGATAGTATTTGATGCAGTGACAGAGAGAAAGAGAGAAAACAGGCACAGGTGATCAGGAGCTCTGGACACACCTGAGCTTGGATAAGATGACAGCATCACGAGGGACAAAGCTGATGAAAAGGCCAAGGAGTTCGGGGCAAGGTGCCCTGAACAAAGTGGCATTTTTGTCTTTGCAACTTCAACTCTTTTCAAACACTTCTTACTAAGTGGTGGCTTTCATTCTACTTTACATACTTTATAGAAAGTCTTAGTCCTTTTTGACTCAATATTGCCAGTCCTCTCATTTCCGTAGTGCTCTGTAATTACTGGTTAGTAAACACTAAAGATAGTTTCATTAGGCCAACTGTAATGCTATAGCCTGGCTTTTGGCCAGTGATAAAAGGGACTTTGCCATTTATTTCACTCCTTCCCAACATACACATGCACACACTCACACACGCATACACACAGGTGTGCAACTTGAAAATAATCCGAATATAAGACAAGTGTTGAAATTTATTCAATACACCACATGAAAGACTAATTGCACATTTTAAACTAAAATTTTTTAGGTGTAATTTGAGTTCACGCTTCTCCTGGGCATGTCTGTTTTCAAGTACAGGTGGTCAGCACAGAACTCAGACACTTGACTTGACTTCAAATGATGTCATCTTCTTGGCCTGTTGCCTCTGACTGTTTTCCTGGCGGCAGCTCAAACAAATGTCAGGCAGATCTAAAATCAGAACGGGGGAAAATGGTTGTGTGGAATCAACTTCATCAACCTAGATTTATTACAGAGCAACTCTGGGCAGAATAGAGTAAAGGTTGAAGAATCTGAAAAAGCTCAAGATTCTTCCAAAGTTATACTGTTTATTTGAATTCTTATTTGAATTTGCTAATCCAATTTCCATGTTTACAGTGTATGTTCTTGGTTAACTTGATAGACAAAATGGCATCTCACTGTTTTTAGGTGGCATTATTTTGATTACTGGTAAAGATAAGCATTTTAAAATACATTGTATTGTTATTCATATTTATTTGGTGTTAATTGCCTGTTTGTGTATTTTGCCCATTGTCTTTTGAGATACGAGTGTTTTCCTTATTAGACGTAATAGTACTTCATATATGAAGGATGTTGACCTTTTGTTTGCTATATCCGTCATAAATATTTTTTCTGGTTTGACATTTATCTTTTAGTTTTGTTTATGATTTTGCTGACTTCCAAATGTTTGCATTTTAATGCAGAAATATCTATTTACTGACTTCCAAATGTTTGCATTTTAATGCAGAAATATCTATCAGTCTTCTCCTTTGGGATATAATCTATTGCTTTTTTTTTTTTTTGCATAGTAAAGCCTTCACCACTCTGAAATCAGATAAATGTTTATCAATATTTTCTTTCTGTTTTTGGCTGTTTTGTTAACTGCTTATTTCCTTTCTTCCATAGTAAGACTCTTGGATTCAAAGTATAGATAATAATAGGAAATATTATAATGATTCATTTGCTTTATTCAAAAATACATATACAATACTCCTGAAATATAAATATTAATACTATCAATCCCCATTTTATTATTGAAAACAGTCTGAAATATTTTTGAATATGCCCTCTTCATTGTCTCTCAGTTTTTAAATAGTTATTATCTATATTGACATAGTGCAAAGCTGTTACATGCTCTACTTTCTCTCTTTTTCCATTTTTATTTTAGATTCAGGGGGTGCATGGGCAGGTTTGTTACCTGGGTATTTCGTGTGATGCTGAGGTTTGGAGTATGAATGATCCCATCACCCAGGTACTGAGTATAGTATCCAACAGTTAGTTTTTCAACTCTTGTCCCCCCTCTCCCTTTCCCCCAGTAGTCCCCAGTGTCTATTGTTGTCATCTTTATGGCCATCAGTACCCATTGTTTAGCTCCCCAGCTTTTGACTTTTGGAATTTAACCCTTTAATCATTCCATATTGCATTTTGGACTATAGTGTGAGAGAAAATCTAAATAAATAATTTTCCCTAAAAGTTGAGTCCTCTACTTAATGTTATTAGTGATTTCATCCTTTGTTCATTTATGACATTTAAAGCATTACACAAATAAAATATGTTCATTTGAAGAATCAGAAAATGCAGATAATTGAAAGGAAGAGAAAAACACTTGCATTTTCTTTCCACTCTGAGTTGAATGTTAGCAGTTTGCTGTGTCCCTCTAGATGTTTTCTTCTGTGGATACAATTCCCCTCCAAATGGAATCATATTGCAATATGGGTTTGCAGCCTGATGTTTTTCCATCTGGTAATATATCATGACTATCTTTTCATGTCAATCAATATACCTTTATAGCACCATGTCCTAATAAATGTTTCCTTGAGATATACTGAACATTCAGAAAAGTACACATTTCATAAATATACAGCAGGATGAATTTTTGCTAGCTGAACACATCCTTGTCATGAGCTACCAGATCAAAAAATGGAATATTGTTAGTACCTCAGAAGCCCCCTGAATAGCTGTTTCTAGTCACCTTTCTCCCACAAGGGTAACCATTCTACTCCTATCCTGATATTTAATAGCACAGATCCCATTTTTTAGAAAGAAATTTGTAGAGATGGGCTCTTGCTATGTTGCCCAAGCTGGTCTTGAACTCCTGCTCAAGCAGTCCTCCCACTTTGGGCTCCTAAGGTTCTGGGATTAGAGGTGCGAGTCACCTGCCCAGCATCACAGCCCCATTTTTGATAGCTATGTGGTGTTCCATCACACATATATGTATCATAACATACTTGGCATAAGTTAAATTGCGTTCTCCAAAAAAAGTAAGTTAAAATCCTAACCCCAGTATCTGTGAATATAACCTTATTTAGAAATAGGGTATTTGCAAATGTAATTGGCTGAAGATGAGGTCATTAGAGTGGGTTGTAATCATATATGACTGGTATCCTTGTAAGAGAAAGAGGCCATCTGAAGACAGAGACACTGGGAGAGCACCACATGATGGCAGAGGCAGGGACTTGGGGGAGGCAGCTGCAAGCCAAGGAAGGCAGCAGGTTGACGGCACCCCCAGGAGCTAGGAAGAGACAAGAGGTGAGAAGAAGCATGCCTTTGCTGATACCTTGATTTTGAATTTCAGCCTCCAAAAATGTGCAAGAATAAATTTCTGTTGTTTTAAGTCACTCCCTTGTTATGGCAGCTCTAGGAAACACACACTAACCCAATTTAGAATGTTTTGCTTTTTTTCTAAAATGTATAGTCTTATATTCGAATACGTCTTTAACTTTTTTACTTAGAAGAAACTAAGTGTGGACTATCTGTATCAAAGAATGATAGTAGGAAATATTACTTTTAAGACAATAAATACGAATCACCAGATTACTACCTTTAAGTGTTGCCCTCTGTGATACAGGTGGTATAGACTGCTTCCTCTTTAAGGCATTCTCCTGTAACTCCAGTCTCACCAGTATTTCCTGGACTGAGGGTACCATGGGCCTACATACAGAGATAACTGACTCCTGCTTCCATCTACACCATGCAGAAAATCCCAGCCCCTTATCACCTGGGAGTCTCTGGGGAGTTTATATGCATGTTTTTAAATAATTCTGTTACATTCTTTCCTTCCCGCCCAACCCCTCAACACATCCTCCTATAAAGACTTTTGGGGGCCTGCCTGTGCTACTTCCCCTAAGATTGCACCAAGTCAGTAGCAAAGACCCATTTCATGCCTTCAGAAGCTGTGGCCGCAAGGTGCCAGGGCACTGTGGCATTTCACATGGCACTCACTGCATTAAATTCAGGCCATATTTCTCTAACAAGGAGATGCCTTTCCTTCCTCCTCTGCACCAGAAGCCCCAAGCAACACTACCTGTGTTCTCCTGTTTCCCAGAGTCCCACTGCCCATGGCCCTGTCACCATGGGGCTTAGGAAGACCAGAATCTGAGGCAGATACCATGTGTGGGCTCTGACACCTTCACCTGTCTCCTCAACTGTCCCCATGTAAACTACTCCAGAATGGTGATGACACTGAGCTATCAGACTTCATGCACATGCATACCCAGATCTTGAGAGCAGGTACATCTTATAGTTACACTCATTCTTTCGTATATTTTGATATTAATAGGGCAAATTTCCTCCTACTGCTTTTCTTTTTCAAAACATTCTTGTATGCTATTACCTGTTTATTTTTGTAGATAAACATATGAATAGTTTGCCAGCTTCCAAAATAATCCCATGAAAAATGTGTTTGTGGCGGAATTAGGTGAGTGAAACTAATGAAAGAGTTAACATTATTCAGGTGTTTGGGCCCCCATCAGGAAGGAGGGGCGTGTCTCTTTACCTACCTGAGTCTTCCTTCACTGGCTCACACGCTGGAGAGGTAATTGGAAAAGGAAGCAGGATGAGTTCTAAGCCAGCTCTGGCATCTTTCAGGATTCCTTTATTTCTTTCATAGCATTAGATGAGTGTATGCTGGAGAACAAATCCTATGGAAGCAGAAAATAAGCTGATTTAGTAAATGTGTCAGACAGGAGAAATTGTGGCTGGATTCTGGAGCCAAGGATTATGGAAAGGGGGGCAAATTGAGGACAGGTAGATAGACATTGTGAGTGTGGTGGGCCAGAAGAGTGCAGGGTGGGATGGGGTTGGGGTGGGGGGTGCTGGGCTCTGAGTCGGGAGACTTGGATTCTTAAGTGAGCTCTGAAATCTGCCAGTATATTGGGCCAGTAGTTTCCCCATTTGAACAATGAGAACACATGGACACAGGGAAGGGAGCACTACACACTGGGGTCTATTGGGGGGAATAGGGGAGGGACGGGGGGGGGAGCTGGGGAGGGATAGCATGGGGAGAAATGCCAAATGTGGGTGAACAGGAGGAAGGCAGCAAAACACACTGCCACATGTGTACCTATGCAACTATCTTGCATGTTCTGCACATGTACCCCAAAACCTAAAATGCAATTAAAAAAAAAACCTGTTGGCTTCTTTCTTAACGTGCATGTTCACTGAGTGACCTCTAAGGCCCTCCCTGAATCAGGTTTCTCTGAGGTATTACAGTTGAAACATGCAACAGGAATTGCATGGCTGAAGAAAATCCCTAAGATGTTAAAAACTTCCATGTCTGAACCCAAGGGGTATAATTATAGAATAAAATGATAAAAAAAAAAACAGCAAGAACTCAAAAGGCTTTTGGGATAATTCTTGCCAGTGAAATAGAAAAGAAAAAAAATCCAAAGTAGCTCATGGACATCATTTAGAGTGGATGAAACTCTGTAAAGGAGGTGCTTCTCAAACTGGTTATTATTTTGATCATGTGTGGCCAGGACTCCCTGGGATAGCAAATTCTCTCAGATATCATGGATCTCTTTGTGGGCAGGGTGAGGCAAGGCACTTCTGACTCCTGTGCCCATGGCCTCTAATCACAGACAAAATTTGCAGGCTTTTGGCATCCTTAGGGCAGCAAGTTAAACAATTTTATCAATGGGGTTCCAGTGTGTGTGTGTGTGTGTGTGTGTGTGTGTGTGTGTGTGTGTGTGTGTGTGAAAGAGAGAGGGAGCCTTTCTCAGTCACCCAGGCAGGAGCACAGTCCTGCCATCACAGCTCACTGCAGCGTCGACCTCCCAGGCTCAAGTGATTCTCCTACCTGAGCTTCCCGAGTAGCTGGGACTAAAGGCGGACACCACCACACCTTACTAACTTCTGTATTTTTTTGTAGAGACAGACCCTACTATGTTGCCCAGGCTGGTCTCAAATTCCTGGGCTCAGGCGATTCTCCTGCCGTGACCTCCCAAAATGTTGAGATTAGATATGAGCCACTGTGCCAGGCCCAGATTTTGTTTTTAATTCTTTTCCTTTCTTAAAAAAAGATTGAGTTCCAGATTTTGCTTTAAGCCAAGTTAGTCTGGTTTAACTCTGTCACAGAGACAGACTATTAAAATTCTAATTGGATTAACTCCTCAGAGGGATTCAGACAGATGCTTGTTTCTCAGATAGAGCAGGCGGGAGATGGGGGGAGAAAATAACATTCAATCACCCAAACCCTTCTAAGGAGCCGTCAGCAAGGCTTGCAGTGCATAGGGCATGCCAGACTGCATTACTTCCCTAAGGAGGGGCTAGGCCAATCAGTCACCCCAGTTATGCCCTCCTGACTCTGTCCCAAGAAGTTACCCACCACCTCCCTACACCGAAGGTCCAGCGTATCTTCACTGTGGCTAAACTCATTGCTAGCCTCAACTGCCATTTCCTGCCAGGTCTTTGAAATGGAAAAGGAAAATTCCAGGTTCTGTGTGGCAGCCGGCCTCCAAGGTGACCTTCATGCTGACCTCCAGTGGTTCCACCTCTTGGCATTCACACACCCTGTATGGCTCCCCTCCCACATTGTACCAGGGTTTGTTTTGTGATGAACAGCACATAGCATGTGTAGGAGAGTTTCATTGCCAAGTTGTGAGGTCACCCAGCAAACCTAGAGCTATGCCACATGATGAGGAGCTAAAGCCTCCAGCAATAGCTGGTAAAAAACTAAGGCCTGACAACAACCACATAAGTGAGTTTTGAGGTGCAGCCCCCTCACTCGAACACTCAGATGAGGCCACAGCCCTGGCTGACAGCTTGACTCCAACCTCATGACAGACCTAGAGATTGTAATCCCCCAACTCAGCCACTCCGAGATGCTTAACCCTCAGAATCTATGAGATAATATATTTAAGTTGCTATGTTTTGGAGTGATTTGTTATGCAGTGTTAGACAAGTGCATCCTGTGGTGCCTCACCAGTTCGAGGGGCTATCAATTTTCACAACAGTCATTCATGTAACGTAAGTTTTGTTTTTAATTTTTGAGTAGAGACAAATGCAGTCAGGAAGACATATGCTACATTAAACGACAAGTGAACATTTATATATCTTGTGCCAAGCTCTGTTGTAAGTTCTTAGATTCCCAAATCCACATGATAATAAAAATCACCTGGAGCTGGGTGCAGTGGCTCACACCTGCAATCCCAGCATTTTAGGAGGCCAGGGTGGGAGGATTGCTTTTGCCAGGGTTCAAGACCAGCCTGAGCAACATAATGAGACCATGTCTCTACCAAAAAACCTGAAAAACTTAGCTGGACATAATGGCATGTACCTGCAGTCAGAGCTACACTGAAAGACTGTGGTGGGAGGATGGCTTCAGCCCAGGAGGTTGAGGCTGCAGTGAACTATGATTGTGCCACTACACTCCAACCTGGGTGACAGAGTGAGACCTTGACTCTAAAGAAAAAAAAATCACTTGGGGTGCTGATTAAACATTTAGATTTCTAGTCTCCTTCCCTTGGTTTTAAGTGGGACTTAGGAATCAGTAGGCTCACTACCACTCCAAATAATTCATATAATCAGTCAACTTTGAAAAATGTTGCAGAATAGGATGCAAAAATGAAAGAGACATAGCCCCTTCTCAGAAAGAGTGCAAGATGGAAAGCAAATTGGTGACAAAAGTGCATTTAAGGAGAACCACCAAGAGGTAAGGAAGACATGAAAACCATTGGAGGAATTGAGCAGTGTGCTTTCTGGAAGAAATGACATGTGAGCAAAGTCTTAAGATTAGTTATGACCTCACACAAAGCCAGATATAGAAAGAATCACTAAGAAATAGTGATAGCTTGTATTTCTCAGGTGCCTGCTAAATGCCAGGCATTGTGCTAAGCATCAAACCCACCTTATTTTATTTAATCCTCACTGCAACCTTAGTAGAAGCTATTGTCATTCCCAATTTCAAATGAGGAAGGCAAGGTTTTGGTTACCACACTGCCCAAGGTGACACCGTTCACATATGCAGAGCTAGGTAGAGAGGAGGCAGTGAACTCCTTATCTCATACTCTTTACCACTGTCCTCTTCCACCTTCCAGGTGACATGAGTCTCAGGGATGTGAAAGTGCTGTGACATTTTTGCAAACGGCAGGAGAAAGTGTCCAGGGAGGCATGTGGGCCAGGGGAAGATACTACATGATGTATTGGAACTTGGCAGTGATTTCCTACTGCAAGCTCACCTCATTCATTTTGTAAATGAGGAAAGAGAACCCCACAGAGGGTATATGACTTGCCTAAAGTCATATACATTTTGTACATTTAGTACATTTTGATAGTGGCAAAATGTACTAAAGATCCAGATCACAGGCAGCACTCTCTTTCCATTACAGAAAGTTGGAGGCCAATATCACACAGGCCATGGTGGATGCCTTGCTAAGGAGGGTTGAGCTATAGTATAGGAGATACATACAGTCAGGGGCCGCATAATGATGTTTTGATCAAAGGTGAACCACATATATGATGGTGGTGCCAAAAGACTATCATATTTTCACTGTACTTTTTCTATGTTTAGATATGCTTACCATTGTGTTCCCATTGCCTATAGTATTCAGTATAGTAGCATCCTGTTCCAATTTGTAGCCTAAGAGAACTAGGCTATACCATACAGACTAGGTGTGTAGTAGGCTATGCCATCTAGGTTTGTGTTAAGTGCACTCTCTGATATTCACACAATGAAATTGCCTAATGATGCATTTCTCAGAATGTATCCTCATCATTAAGTGATGCATGGCTGTATATGTAAAATATATATAACATAAAATTCACCATGTTAAATGTTTAAGTGTACAATTCAGTGACATTAATGCATTGACAATGTTGTGCAATCATCACCCCTACCATTGCCAGAACTTTTTCATCATCCCAAACAGAAACTCCGAGCCCATTAGATAATAATCTGCTATTTCCCCTTTCTACCTTCTGACTTTATGAACTTGCCTATTTTAGGTATCTTATATGTGTGGAATCATTCAATATTTGTTTTTGTGATAGGCTTAATTTAACTTAGCATGATGTTTTCAGGATTCACCCATGTTGTAGCATGTGTCAGTACATCATTCCTTTTCCTCCCATTTTCTCATTATGGTAAAGTGAAAAAAAATATTTGCCATCTTAACAGTTTTTAAGTATACAGTCCAGTGGTATTAAGTACGTTCAGATTGTTGTGCAACCATTACCACTATCCATCTTTGTAATTCTTTTCATTTTGCAAAACTGAAACTCTGTACCAATTAAACAATAGCTCCCCATTCCTCCTTCCTCAAGACCCAGGCAACCACCATTCTACTTTCTGTCTCTATGAATTTGACTACTCTAGCTACCTCACGTAAGTGGAATCATACAGTATTTGTTCCTTCATGGCTGGCTTATTTCACTTAGCACAATGTCTTCAAGGTATATCCATGTTGTAGCATATGTCAGAATTTCCTTCCATTTTAAAGCTGAATAATATTCCATTCTGTGTGTATACACACACACATACACACGAGAGGGCTTTAAAATTTTGGAAAATGCATATTATGAAAAAAGTATGCATGGATTTCAAATATTTTTTACACCAAAATGAATAGGATCTAGTTTGCGGCACTAAGAAGGATAAGATATCAGCCAAGGCGAGTGGATCATGAGGTCAAGAGATCAAGACCATCCTGGTCAAAATTGTGAAACCCCGTCTCTAATACAAACACACAAAAAACTATCTGGGCATGGTGGTGCGTGCCTGTAATCCCAGCTACTCAGGAAGCTGTGGCAGGAGAATTGCCTGAACCCAGGAGGCGGAGGTTGCGGTGAGCCGAGATCGCGCCATTGCACTCCAGCCTGGGTAACAAGAGCGAAACTCTGTCTCAAAAAAAAAAAAGAAAAGAGCCCCTATCAGAGCAACATGAATTCTGAAAAATCGAAGCAAGGGCAAACATGAAATGTATGGTGAAGCTTGTGGGGAAGAGTGGTGAAATCACTGATACCTTATGAAAAGTTTTTTGTGGGCAATGACCCAAAGATATAGGTGGTTTACAAACAGACACTCATTTCAGGAAGGGACAAGAGGATGTTGAAGATGAAGTCTGCAACAGCAGACCATCCACATCATTTGTGAGAAAAAAATCAATCTTATTCATGCCCTAATTGAAGAAGACAGATGATTAACAGCAGAAACAATAACCAACACCACAGGCACCTCAACTGGTTGAATTTACCCATTTCTGATTGGCAAATTAAAGTTGAGCAAACTTTCCACTTGATGGGTGCTAAAATTGTTGTGCCCAGATCAGCTGTAGATAAGAGTAGAGCTTTCCAATCCAGTCTATTATCAATGGTGAAGGGGAGAAGAAAAGCAAAGCACACTGCCATGTGTTTACCTACGCAACTGTCTTGCATGCTCTGTTCATGTACCCCAAAACCTATAATCCAATAAAAAATTAAAAAAAAAAAAAAAAGAGTAGAGCTTTCAGTGAAAATACAAAACAGGTGGGATCAAGATTATGAAAGATTTCTTTGAAGAACTGTAATAACAGGAGAAAAAACAAGACTTTGCCAGTGTAATCCTAAAGACTAAGCACAATCAAAGCAGTGATTACCAGGATGTGGGAGCAGTCTGGTCAAAGCAAAAGCAGATCCATCAAGAGCAAAAGTCACGGCAATAGATTTTTCAGGGGACGCTCACAGAATTTTGCATGTGGTTTTTGGTAGAAGGCCAAAGAATGATAATATCTGCTTATTATGAGAGTATTTGGAGAAATTAGATAAAGCTGTAGCAGAAAACATGCCTGAAAAAGCTCCACCAAAGAGTCCTTCTCCACCATGACAATACTCCTGCTCATTCTTCTCATCAAACAAGGGCAATTTTGCAAGAGTTTCAATGGGAAATCATTAGGCACCCATCTTACAGTCCTGATTTGGCTCTTTCTGACTTCATTTCCTAATCTTAAAGAGTCTTTAGCTGGCACCCATTTTTCTTAAGTTAACAATATGAAAAAGACTTCATTGACATGGTTAAGTTCCCAGGACCCATGCCAGGTCTGGTGGCTCACACCTGTAATCACAGCACTTTGGGAGGCTGAGGTAGAAAAATCACTTGAGGCCATGAGTTTGAGACTAGCCTGGGCAACCTATCCAGACTTTTGTCTTAACAAAAAATTAAAAATACGTAAATAAAATAGAAAAGTTCCCAGGACCTTCCATTCTTTAGAGATGGACTAAATGGCTGGCATCACTACAAAATCATCTTGAACATGATGAAGCTAAAGTTTATATTTTTAAATTTTTATCTTTTAATTCAATTTTCCCAGAAACTTTTGGAAGTTCCCATGTGAGTGCATGTGTGTATGCGGAACAGTTTGTTTATCCCTTCATCACTGATGGACATTTGGACTGTTTCCATGTTTTCACTATTAAAGTGAATCATAGCTAATAATGCTTCCACGAACATGGATGTACAAACATGCCTTTGATACCCTGTGCATTATTTTCACCAAGTTGATAAAGACATGCTTGAAACTGGGAACAAAAAGAGGTTTAATTGGACCTACAGTTCCACATAGCTGGAGAGGCCTCAGGGTGACAGGTAAAGGCGCTTCTTACATGGTGGCAACAAGAGAAAAATAACGAAGAAGCAAAAGTGGAAACCCCTGAAAACCCATCAGATCTCATGAGACTTATTTACTATCACAAGAATAGCATGTGAAAAACAGGTCCCCTGTGATTCAATTACCTTCCCTGGGGTCCCTCCCACAACAGGTGGAAATTCTGGGAGATACAATTCAAGTGGAGATTTGAGTGGGGACACAGCCAAACCCTATCATCATCCTGCTTTTAATTTTTTTGTTTAGACACCCAGAAGTGGAAACACTAAATCATATGGTAATTGTAATTTTTAATTTTTTGAGGAAACACTATACTGTTTTCTACAGTGGCTGTGCCATTGTACTTTCTTACCAACAGTGCACAGGGTTCCAGTTTCTCCACATTCTCACCAACACTTGTCATCATTTCTTTTTATAGTTGAATAATATTTTATTGTATGTATATACTATATGTATTTTGTTAATACATTTACGGACATTTGGGTTGTTTCTGTCTTTTGGCTACTGTGAATAGTGCTGCCATAAACATTGGTGTATGTTGTCCCTACTTTCAATACTTTGGGGTTACATACCTTGGATTGGGATTGCAGAACTATAGGCCCCATTTTTTGAGTAATCTATGGGCTGGTAAAGGAAGACTGTGCTCTGTGAGTCAGCGTTGTCCATCCCAGCCTTCTGAGCAGACATCCCTGGGCGGGGGTCCTTCCTTTCTCCAGTGTGCTGCCCCGCCCCCTTGTTTCTCTCTAGAAAGCACTTCTCTGCGCCTCTTTTACCCGGAGGTACGGCAGCTGGCACCGAAGGTGGCCCTGGTGTCCGGTCGGGCTGGCCCAGGGGACGAAGTTGGAGGCTGCCCCAGGCGTGTCCCTGAGATTGAGTGTGTGGGCAGCGGGGGAGGCTCCTCGGTCCTTTGCACGTTCGTGGCTGAGCGGGGCCGTCTCCGCCCACTCCGACGGCGCCGGGCTGCCAAGGTGAACCGCTGAGGAGCCCCGTGCCCCGAGGCGGGCATAGCCTCCCCGCCTGGGTGCCCCCGGTGCAGGGTCGGCGCAGAGCCCTGCCGGGAGCCCCAGCGCCCCCGTTCGCGCCCGGGGTGGCCGTTCTGAAGCCTGAACCGGGGAACGCGCCGCCCGCCTGGCTCGGATCCCTCCCGCGCGTCCTCGCCGCCAGCGGCCGCCCGGGCGTCCTGAACGCTCCTGCCCAGGGCGATCCCGGCCTCTCCAGCCCCACGGGCCCGGACGACCCCCAACGCTCCCAGCCTCGAGCCCACACCTCGGCGCCCCACGGCCACCGGAGGCGGGGACAGGGAGTCCGGGGCAGGCCGGGCCGGGGGATCTGCGGCGGCGGCGCGAGCTTAACTCCCGCCAGAGCCGGGAAAGAGCCCCGAGCCGAGGAAGAAGGGAGCGGGGACCTGCCCTCCGCCTGCCGGCTTCTGGAAGAAGCGTCTCCTGTTCCGGCCCTGGAATAAGAAACCCGTACCTCGTCCGCCCGACTCCGCGATGCTGCAGGTACCTAGCGCGCCCTCCCGGGGAGGATGCTCCAGGGGCCCCACGCAGCACCGGTTGCGGCCGAGGGGTGCGGTGGCTTCTGAGTGAAGAGGGAGCTTTGCAAGGGATTCACTCCTGTGCGTTTCTTCAGGAGAGCCAGGCTTCCCCTCCGCTGTCCTTAGGAGAAGCCGCCCAGGTTCCAGGGAGAAAGTTGGGAGCAGGCGAGGGACTGATCTGTAGGGGTTTGTGAGAGAGGCTCCCAGCGATCGAGAGGTCACCAGGTGGGGTCGGATTGGGGTTCCCGTCTGAAAGGTGAGAATAAAGGAGAAAAGACCAATGGATAGTCATCCTTAATCTCGTGACGCCCTCCTTTCCATCCCCGAAGTTTCTATATTCTTTGTTTTTGAAACCTACTTTGAGCCTTCAGGTAACATGCTGGTAGGGGTACTCCCCCCAGAGTGCCATATCACTGCGACCCACGGGGCCTGCAAGGAGTGGGGCCTGTCCCGCCTTGGTTCCAAGCTTGCCCCGTTTCTTCTTTTCATCTGAGTTCTGCTTCTTCTTGACAGGGGCAGAAGACAAGGGCTGAGCCAGACAGAACTGAGAGCTCAGTGGAAGGAAAAAATCAGGGTGAGGGGTTGGGATAGAGAGGCAGCAGTGGGTCTGAGCCCCACTGGGGAGCAGAGGGACTTTAACCCTGGCTTCAGAAAGACGGCTCCAGATGTCTTGTCTTGGAGGAATATGCAGAGCAGGCTTTTCTGGGGCCGGTGGGGGGTGGGGGGTGTCCTTGGCATGTTCCTCATCTCCCTTTCCCAGGAAGCTCAGGCTTGCCTTCTTCCCTCTGTTCTCCTGACATTTGTTTTAGGGTGCTCTCCAGACCTCAGCCCTCCTTCTATGTCCCAGTCCCTGGTCTGATGTCTTCAGGGTTTGGGAAGGACTGCAGGGAGAGGGCAGGGGACAGGGGGACTCTGGCTTCCTCCCTGTCCCCAGCAGGGCAGCTGACACCAACCCCCCGACCCCTCATCCCTGCCCCATTATGTGGTGTGGTGGACTTTCTGTATCAGAATTTCACTCCCCTTCCTTGCAGCTGACCAAGGAGGCCTGAGAGCTTAGTAGTAAATTCCTGCAGTTCTAGGGTATAACACTCTCCTCTGGGGAGCTCTGGGCTGCGCAGACATTATTGATCTCCTGCCTGGCAGATGTTGAACCTCTGAGTGTTTAAGCTACTTACCTCTGGACACTCAACCAGCCAAGGAAAAAATATGCTCTAGAGTTCCCATTCTCACCACTTCGTTAGTCACAAACTGTGACTTGACCCTACAGCCTCTGCCTGGGGACAGGCCTTTGTAAATGCTGTTTCCAGCTTCTAGGATCACAGGAGGTTCTGATGTGGGAACAGGAAGGCCAGCGAAGAGAGAGGAAGGTGGCTGCTCTATGGCTCCATGATTTTAGAGCCTTGTTTTGCCAGAAGAGCAAGGAGAGCAGACAGGCTCGTCTGAAAGCCCTCCCTCTTCAGTAGCATTTAAAGTAATTTCTTTCCCTTCAGCCTCCCTACACTCCCAACTTTTGTCCTTGAGAAAAGGTAAAACATTTCTGAATCTTCAGTGGAACAGAAATAAGCCGAGCCAGTGCTTGATTGTCTCTATAGCAATCCACCCGTCCCTAAATTGAGTATGTGGTTTTCATTCATTTTCTCATTGGTTCATTTCCATTCCACAACCCTGTATTCTCACTGGGCAGGTGGCTAATAGGTCTGCTTAGGTTACAAGATGGTTTTAAATTTGACCAGCTTTACTCCAACATGTAGCCAACTGTTTGTATGCCTTTCATAGGTTCAGAATGGAGCTCAGATACCAGACCCCAAAGATGCTGGCAGAGACATTCTGACTCATTAAGGGAGAGCTGAGTGATAGCAGAGGGGTGACATCAGCCTTGCAGACACTGCCCTGAGGAATTCCGAGCACTGTTGCTCACAGCACCGCCTGGCCATATGGAGACCACCATGGGGTTCATGGATGACAATGTCACCAACACCTCCAGCAGTTTCCTTTCTGCACTCAACCCTCGTGGAGCCCATGCTGCTTCCTTTCCATTCAACTTCAGCTATGGCGACTATGATATGCCTTTGGATGAAGACGAGGATGTGACCAATTCCCGGACATTCTTTGCTGCTAAGATTGTCATTGGCATGGCCCTGGTGGGCATCATGCTGGTCTGCGGCATTGGCAACTTCATCTTTATTGCTGCCCTGGTACGCTACAAGAAGCTGCGCAATCTCACCAACCTGCTTATTGCCAACCTGGCCATCTCTGACTTCCTGGTGGCTATTGTCTGCTGCCCCTTTGAGATGGACTACTACGTGGTGCGCCAGCTCTCCTGGGAGCATGGCCACATCCTGTGCACCTCTGTCAACTACCTGCGCACTGTCTCTCTCTACGTCTCCACCAATGCCCTGCTGGCCATCGCCATTGACAGGTGAGTGCAGCAGCAGTGGGGGCAACAAAGGCAGTCAGGGAGGAAGAGTCATTGGAATTGCCTCCTCTTGTGCTGCAGTTGCAGATTGATGAGAGATGTCTGTATTTCTCCTAGAGGTAGATGCCTGGGGGATTCAAAAGCTTGACCATTGACTGACGGAAGAGTTCTCTTTTTCCAGCTTTGTTCAGCAGAGCCCTCTAGAGTTGGGTGATGGGAAGTTTTTGATCTCCCCTGCTATGGATGTTTTCCTAGATGTTACACCTTCCAAGGTCTAGAGTAGACAGCTAAGAGGAGATATTGAGGGACAGTTTAAGCTCCAGGCAGTTATTTCTTGAGTCAACTTGGAAATCTTGAAGGAGGTTTCTATCTCATCAGGACTTCCTCTACTAAAATATGATCTTCTAGCACCAGCTGTTTTAAAATAAGATTCAAGGATTTGTGGCTGGCTGTGGTAGGTAGTTCAAGCCTATAATCCCAGCACTTTGGGAAGCTGAGAAAGGAGGAGTATTTGAGGCTAAGAGTTCAAGACCAGCATGGGCAACATATCCAGACCTCATCTTTAGAAAAGAAATCAGCTGGATGTGGTGGTGTGTGTCTGTAGTCCTAGCTAGTTGGGAGGCTGAGGCAGGAGAATCACTTGAGCCCAGGAGTTCAAGGCTGCAGTGAGCTATGATCATGCCATTGCATTCCAGCCTCGGGGACAGAGGGAGACCTTGTCTGTAAAAAGTAAATAAAAACAAAAAGATTGAGGGATTTGTTTTGGAAAAAAAAGGAGAACATATGTTTATTTACTTTTTGTTGTTGCATTAATCACTTTGCATCTTTTAGTCCATTTGCACAGACAGTGCAGAAGACCTGTTTCTGGTGACCACAGATAAAATCAGGACGAGCAGCCTCTGCGTATCTTTCTTCAAGGTAGTCTCTTCCTTTAGTATAAACTCTTCCTTTAGTATAAACCCCTGCTAATGGGCCAGGCTGGTCTTTGTTCCCCCAGGGATAATCTTTGCTAACTCCTCTGCCCACAGTTGGACTGTCATTACAAAGCACCTGGTTACAGTCTAGAGAGAGTTACCCTGAGGGTCAAATCAGGCCTCTGTGTACTTGGATTTGAACAGCCTGACTCTCTCCCTTAACCCAGAGAGCCTGAGGCATACATGCTCTACCTGTTCTCTGGCCTCAGGGATCTGAGGAGGTTTGACCTGGCCCTCACAGTCAGGACAGTGTTCTGGGGAGGAGCACAGCTGAGAGAGCTTGTTTTCTGAGATCATAGGCAGGGTGACCAGGGCTGGGATAACTGAAAAGGATAACCTGAGAAAAGGAGGTTACGAAGGAGTCTCTGTCTTTAAAACCGCTGAGAGGTGGGGCCTCAGCCTCCCTTCTCCAGGGAAGGACATTAGGGAGTTAGCAGCTTACCTAGCCCTTGTTCTGTCCCACATTGAAAAGGTGTCATCCTTGCAGAAAGATACTTCTCCTTGGCCAGGTTCCCTCCACTGAGTCACAGCCCCGCAGCTTTTAATTTACCTGGGCAAGGACCCTGGGTGAACCCACAGAAAGAGCAGGAGAGGAGCAGTCAAGTAGAGTATCTAACTCTTAGGTTCCCTTCAGAGCTGCCTAAAAAGAGCTCCAGGGAATTTGTCTCTGAACGTTTCTGAAAATAGAAGCTGCCACCTTCTCTCTTAGCCCATGAAGAAGACAAAGCATACAGAGTCATTTCCTAAAGTTTCATACTAGCAAGAAACTACATGTACTCAGCTACTAAATGCAGGGTAGGGTGCCTCCTACGGAGTGGGACCCTACTCCCCAGCTTAGCTCCATTCTACCACTTGAAAAAAGTGACAATGGTAGGAGGGAGTAGCTTCGAGGGGAAAGGAAGCCAGGATACACTCAGAGGCATTGTTTTATTTGGAACATGTAAGAGTGATATCTATATCAGTCAGTCAGTCTCCATCTTCTGAACTTTTTTAAGCTTATATCCTTGTTTCATACCAAACAGCTTGTCTGAAATATTGCAAGCATTTCTCTTGCAGTGTGAGTTTACACAAAGCAAATTAGATGCAATAAGAAAGTTGAATGAATACCTATGCAACTATCTTGCATGTCTGCACATGTACCCCAAAACCTAAAATGCAATTTAAAAAAAAGTTGAATTAAAAAACACGGGGCTTTGCACCATGGGGCTGCTATGGTTGAGTGGGGTTATGATTGAAAGCTTGTACCCAGACCTTGAGGAAAGCACCACGTGCCTTCACAGGGCTACTCAATGGTCTTGGTGGATGAACGGCTGCTCCAGTGCATGGAGTTCTTTTAGTGATGTTTGTGATCTTTGAATTGAAAAATAATCTTTCAATTATTTTTATTTGTCTGCAGTGTTACCATCTAATTGTCGTCTAGGAATCATTAATTTTTCTCTGGTCTTATGTGTTGTTCAGGATTTGATCAGTTGGGAGCAACTAATTTTTATCTTGGTTTATAACAAATACACTTAGTTGTAAAAATGCCTTTATGTTCGTTTAATGAAATTTCTGCAGCAATGTTAGCGGCTATTCTGCCTGGGTTTAAATTCCAGCTGTATTTTGTGTTGGGTCTTGTGTTAGTTATTTGACCTCTCTGCCTCAGTTTTCTCACTTATGAAATGAGAGTAAAAAGAAAGCCTGTAATCCCAGGACTTTGGGAGCCTGAGGCGGGTGGATCACGAGGTCAAGAGATCTAGACCATCCTGGTCAACATGGTGAAACCCCGTCTCTACTAAAAATATAAAAAATTAGCTGGGCATGGTGGCGCGTGCTTGTAATCCCAGCTACTCAGGAGGCTGAGGCAGGAGAATTGCCTGAACCCAGGAGGCGGAGGTTGCGGTGAGCCGAGATCACACCATTGCACTCCAGCCTGGGTAACAAGAGCGAAACTCCCGTCTCAAAAAAAAAAAAAAAAAAAAAAAAGAAAAAGAAAGCCTATTGTATTAGGTTGCTTTGAGGATTAAATGAAATAATATATTTAATCGCCTAGAACAATATTTAAAACAGTAAGCACTAAATAAACAGTGGATATGATAATTCTTAAATTAACCCTTATAGGAAGGTCTACCACAAAAAAAGCAGATAAATTAATAAATATTTCTGACACACTAACCTCTTTGTTTTCATTGAAATTATTGTTTTTGGCTGGGCATGGTGGCTCACGCCTGTAATCTCAGCACTTTGGGAGGCCGAGGCGGGTAGATCACGAGGTCAAGAGATTGAGACAATCCTGGCCAACATGGTGAAACCCTGTCTCTACCAAAAAGTACAAAAATTAGCTGGGCGTGGTGGCACATGCCTGTAGTCCCAGCTACTTGGGAGGCTGAGGTAGGAGAATTGCTTGAACCCAGGAGATGGAGGTTGCAGTGAGCCAAGATCGCGCCACTGCACTCCAGCTTGGCGACAGAACGAGACTCCATCTCAAAAAAAAAAAAAAAAAAGTTATTGTTTTTAGGATGTGATTTTAAAAAATACAAGATTTCTATGAAATGGCAGAACAGAAATATTTATCATCTGGTAGCTTGTATTTCTGTTTCTATTATTGTTTCCATTGTTCTCTAAGGCATCTAAACTAGAAGAAAATCTCCTTTGTCCCAGCTGCTCTCCCTTCGTCACCAGCATTCATTCAACTTCCAGATCTTGGCAATACCCATTCGTTCATCCAGGGCTGGTATCTAGTCTCCTCTTGGTCTTTCTGCCTTCAGTGTTTCTTGGATCTGCCCATCTGTCAATCCTACTCTCCTGACAATCCATCCTAAGTTTTCATTTATTCATTCATTTAAACCATGCATTTTTATAGAGTAACTGCGATATGGCAGATGTTATTGCAAGCACTGGAGACACGACTGTGAATAAGACAAAAAAGAACTCCTTGCTTTCCTGGAGCTTATACGCAAAGGATAGAGAGAGGTCACAGTCAGCAAACAAAAAAGGAAGGTAATTTCAGAAGCAAGAAATATTCTGAACAAAAACAAGCACACACATAAAATGGCCAGAGTGACTGCAGGTGGGACCTACTTAGGTGAGCAGTCAAGAGGAGTGTCTCTGAGGAGAGGCCTTTGATCTGGCTTCTGAATGATGCAGAGGAAAGAGCCTGCCTTGGGAAGACAGGGGTCAAGCATCCCAGACAAGGGGGATTCTAAGTGCAGAGGCTGGGAGACAGGAACAAACCAGTTGAGTTCTAGGAACAGAGGAACAGAGAGAAGGCCCCATGTGGCCTGAGGGAAATAAGCAAGGCTGCAGCCAAATTAATCTTCTGTCTTGTACATGTCTCCCCTCTCTTGCTTAAAAGACCTCTACTGGCTCCATTGTCTACAAAGTATGGCTCAAACCCTTTCACCTGTTCTTCCAAATTTTAATTATCTAGCCCCAGACTGCTTCCCGGTCTCATGGATAAACACATTTATGTCCTGTTTTCCCAAAAAAGGTTGCAATCTTCACCATGGCCTTTTATATTAATTTTTTTTAAGAGATGGGATCTTGCTATGTTGCCAGGCTAGTCTTGAACTGGTCTTAAGTAATTCTTGTGCCCTGACCTCCAAAAGTGTTGGGATTGCAGGTGTGAGCCAGTGACCAGCCAGCTCTTTTTACATGTTTATTCATCCAGTTCCAGGCACTTGATGAGGGTGAAGTGGCATGAAAATCCTATTAGGTGCCCAGAATTCACAGACAGTAAAAGGTTGTGAAAGAAATAAGACACAATCACAGCTCTTGCAGGGCTGACCATCTAGAATTGGGGGTAGGGTGGGACCAGGGAGAACTAACACAAAACAGTTAAAGAATAAGTAAATTTAGAGAAGGGTGAGATCGTTATGTACTAGAGTAGTCAGAGGAGGCTTCATGGAGGAGTTGGACTTCTAACTGGCCTTCAACAAAGGAAGATCAGCAAAGGAGCAGGAAGTTTTCCCAAGAGAGTGAGTAGAACAGTGTTTGGAAAAGTCTAGAGGTGGGAATGCCTGAGGTGAGAGTGAGGTACCTTAGAGAGGGATGTCCGGCATGGGTAAGAAACACAAGGAGAGTAGAGATCAGAAAGACTAGGATCTATTCCAGAAGGTCTCAGCAGCCAGGCAGAGGGAGTGAAACCTGAGGGCAGGAGGAAACTAAAGATCCTGAGACCAGGTGCAGTGACTCACGCCTGTAATCCTAGCACTTTGGGAGGCCTAGGCGGGAAAATCTTTTAAGCTCAGGAGTTCAAGATCACCCTGGGCAACATAGGGAGATCCTGTCTCTACAAAAAAAAAAAAAAAAAAAAATTACCAGGCATGATGGCATATGCCTCTAGTCCCCGCTATTCGGGAGGCTGGGGTGGGAGGAATCCTTGAACTTAGAAGATAGAAGCTACAGTGAGCTGTTATCACCCACTGCACTCCAGCCAGCCCATCTTTACAAAAAAAAAAAAAAAAAAAAAAAGGATCATGAGAGACCTCTGCCCCAGCCAGAGGTCTGGGTTTCCTCTTTCATGTGGAGACACTAAGATCCTTCAGCATGTGGGGGCTCCAGGGAACTTCCCTTTTACCCAGAATCCTGAGGAAACTGGCCAGTGTATGTACCTTTGAAGAAGCTCTCTTCTTCTGTCTTGATGAGGCTAAGGCCTGAGTAATCTCGCCCAGCTTTAGGAAGCACAGATGCCTCCTGGTGCTTCCTGACCATTAGTCAGGGCCACTGGCCTGAAGATCGGGCCGTGTTATCTTGGCCCATCCCATGACTAGCCTAATAGCAGCTGGGACCACTGTTACCATGATTTGATCTGGGGCTGGGTCCCGAGAACACAGGCAGAGCCCAATATGTCTTTTCCAGCCCACTATTATCACAGTTATTGCCTGGACCATTTTTGTCTAGCAGCCTTCATTCCTTGTTCACTGGGAACTGTTAGCTCTACATGAATCTGGACCTAAGCCACTGTAGTGGCAGACACACAGGGCAAGCCAAGGGCATACTCATAAGCAGAGAAAAGCAGCTGCCAGATGTCATACCCCTTCTTGGAACATCAATAGGTAGAAGCCAACTGTGATGGAGAGGAAAGAGGAGAAGGGCTGCTGGGATGCTAGGAAGGCAAGAGGAAGGGCATCATCTTCTCTTGGCTAAAAAAAGAGGGGGTAGATGGCATTCAGAGATGCCACTGGATTTGCAGCAAGTCATCACTCTGTTGATATCTAGCTGTGTGGCTTTTTGACAGGTTATTTAACTTCTCAAAGCCTCAGTTTTCTCATCTGTAAAGTGGACATCATCACTGTCTTACCTATTTAATAGAGTTGGAATTACCTAGTGAAAAAGTGGATTTGAAGATGCTTTGTAAATTGCAAACTTCTTTACAAACATTAAGCAAACATTATGAATGCTAGAGTTCTGGAGTTCTGGTCCTAGCATTGACAAAGTTGACAGAAGTCCTTGAAACAGTTTTCTGCAATTTGCCTGTTGGTAAATGTATCAGGAAGACCTCTTGCATGGCTCACGGCACTAATTCTGGGAATGGAGTTGGGGTGATGTCAGAATGAAATAACTATCTGACAGGTAATCACAGATTACTCTGAGGATTAGATTTGACATGTAGAGTTTATCCTATAAAACAGAAAGTCAGAGAAGACTTACAATCAAGTATTTGCTAATAACATGTAAAGAAAAATATCTGTATACAGAATAGCTCTGGGAAAAAGTACGTTTTAAGATGCTAACAGTTCTTTGTATATTAATAGTTTACTGTTTCTTATGTGCAGTGTCTCATTGGAGCCTCATAGTATCTAGGTAATATTCCCATTTTACAGATGAGGGAAATGAACCTACAGGGATAAGAAAAATGACTCAGATTCATAGAGCAACTTTCTGGCAAAGCTGGGATTCGACTTGTGGTCTTCTGAGTCCTAGGTCGGCGTTCTTTCCCATATGTTTATTGAAAACACACTCTAAGTTTGAAATATCATAAAGGCTTAGGTAGCTACTATCAGGAAAAAGAATTATGTGGTGAAAATTCTTATAGTGAATGAATATGAATATAGGAAATTTCTTTGTCAGAGTAATCAGCAGATCGTAGTGGGGTGGACAGAGAGCAATGGCGCCAATGAGAGCAGAAGGTCTAAACTCTGTTTTCATTGTGAGTCGGGGAAATTGGAGGCTCTGGTTGCATCAGGAGCACCATGGTCTTTATGAAGGGCCCACACTCATGCGTTGACAATGGCATTGCCAACGCCTTGCAGACATTTCCCTTTTTATCCTCTGGCACTGGAGAGATTGGCTAGAGTGCCTGCGATGGTAGTCGGCTGAGTGTCCAGAGTGGGCGCAACCCAGCCTACTTCATTTTTTTTTAAGATGGAGTCTTGCTTTGTCACACAGGCTGGAGTGCAGTGGCATATTCTCGGCTCACTGCAACCTCTATCTCCTTGGTTTAAGCAATTCTCCTACATCAGCCTCCCAAGTAGCTGGGATTACAGGCACCGGTCACCATACCCAGCTAATTTTTGCATTTTTAGTAGAGACAGGGTTTCACCACGTTGACCAGGCTGGTCTCAAACTCCTGACCTCAGGTGATCCACCTGCCTCAGCCTCCCAACGTGCTGGGATTACAGGCATGAGCCACTGTGCCCAGCCCCTACTTCATTTAACATCTGGGGGCTAGAAGAGAGCTGGAGGCTCACTCCCGTGAACTCTATAAAGGGCTTAACTGCCCAGGCTGTTAGGGAGGAACAGAAAGAGCAGAAATACAATCAGGAAAAAAAAAAAAAAGAATGAACCTCTCTTCAAATCAAAATTCCAAGAAGGATGACTTCATAGGGATTTGTTTCAAAGGAAACAGAGTTGGTTTGGCTTGGCTTTCCTTCAGACCCCTGTCACACTTGCTCTGGGCTCTACCTGGGATAAGCTCTGGACACGTGAGACCATGTTTGTTTCCAATGTTGGCCAGTCAGTCCCCTCCCACTTCACTCCCCATCTCTCTCCTTCTCTAACTTCCACCCGCTGCCAGCCACAGGATGTCTTCCAGGAAACCGGAGCTCTCTGCATAAGTTGTGTGCATTCTCTCTGGGAAGGAGGCTATCAGCTGTCATGCCGCACAATGACTCACATCCCCCCAGAAAGTGCTCTCTGTTTGTGTTCCTGTACCACTGTGGTAACAGCAATGCAGGTTTTGACTTTTTTTTAAAAGAACAAAAGCAGTATCTTTTACATTCTGCTGCTTTGCGGTTAAAAAAAATACATTCATGTATATTCTCAATTGATTTTCACATCAACCCTGTGAGGTAGGGTTAAATGTTTTCTATCAAGGAAGGGTCCTGTGGTCTGTGACCTTGAGAAAGTCACTCATCTCTCACTGCCATCCATTTTTCCACCTGGAAAATGAGGTATTTGGCTGAATGCTTTTCCTCCTCCTTTGCATGCAAAGCAACAATTTTTAGAATGTGGAATGAAGAAAAACCTTTGCCCAGTGTTTCCATTGTAAAGGGCAGATTCTCCTGAATCTTTGAATTATCCTGCCCTTTTAGCTTTAAACTGCGAGGTAATTATAATGAAAAGCCCAAGAACAGGAAGCAGCTAGGAACAGTGCCAGGCTAGAAACCAATGGGAGGAATTATTACATTTAATACTAATTGTTATCATTTTTTAGTACATATTAGGTTTAAAACTGTGCCAGGCATAGTGCATACATTATCACATTTAACTGCCAACAAAACTTTTGCAGATAAGGAAACTAAGGGTCAGTTTCCAAACTTGCCTGAGGTTGCACAGCTAGTTAGAGAAGAGGCTGGGGTTAGCTTCAAGTAGGCCTTTTGCAGAAGCCCACATACCATTGGGAATTTTCTCCACGCATACCATTTGGTTGCTCCTTAGAATGTTGCAAAATGAAATGGCAGGTTTGCTTGAGACAAAAGTCTGAGACTATGCTGGGCAGCATACAGAGACTCTGCCTCTACAAAAAAAAAAAAATTAGCACGTGTGGTGCATTGTACCTCTAGTCCCAGCTACCTGGGAGGCTGAGGTGGAAGGATTGCTCGGGCCTAGGAGTTTGAGGCTGCTGTGAGCTATGATCATGCCACTGCACTCACTGCACTCCAGCCTGGGGGACAAAGCAAAACCCTGTTTAAAAAAAAAAAAAAAATACCATCCAGCGCTTCTTCCTCACAGTGGCTGCCTCCACTTGTGTTCTTGCCCTAGGTATCTGGCTATTGTCCACCCGCTGAGACCACGGATGAAGTGCCAGACAGCCACTGGCCTGATTGCCTTGGTGTGGACGGTGTCCATCCTGATTGCCATTCCTTCCGCCTACTTCACCACCGAGACGGTCCTCGTCATTGTCAAGAGCCAGGAAAAGATCTTCTGTGGCCAGATCTGGCCTGTGGACCAGCAGCTCTACTACAAGTCCTACTTCTTGTTTATCTTTGCCATCGAGTTCGTGGGCCCCGTGGTCACCATGACCCTGTGCTATGCCAGGATCTCCCGGGAGCTCTGGTTCAAGGCGGTCCCTGGGTTTCAGACCGAGCAGATCCGCAAGCGGCTGCGCTGCCGCAGGAAGACGGTCCTGGTGCTCATGTGCATCCTCACCGCCTACGTGCTGTGCTGGGCCCCCTTCTACGGCTTCACCATCGTGCGCGACTTCTTCCCCACCGTGTTCGTGAAGGAGAAGCACTACCTCACCGCCTTCTACATCGTCGAGTGCATCGCCATGAGCAACAGCATGATCAACACCCTGTGCTTCGTGACTGTCAAGAACAACACAGTCAAGTACTTCAAAAAGATCATGTGGCTCCACTGGAAGTCTTCTTACAATGGTAAGTCCAGCGCAGACCTGGACCTCAAGACAATCGGGATGCCTGCCACTGAAGAGGTGGACTGCATCAGACTGAAATAACCCCCTGGACTTGGCCTAGTTTAAACACAAGGCAGCATCCTGGGGACACTGACCAGTGTGCTTGGATGCACATCAACCTGAAACTTTTTTTTGCTACAGAGGGCAAAATAAATGGACCACTCTGTGAACAGTGTTCATGGAGCTCAGCATTTCTAAAATGCACGTGACCAGACACTATCGCCAGTGGCATTTGTTGAATGTCTAATTTGTACACCAGTAGGTACTGGTAAGACCTATGTATGTTGATGACATTTAGTTGGCAAAATGAAATTTAAATTAAACCAAGGAAAATGTGTGCTGTAGATATAAATAAGGGAGTTTCCACCAAAGAACGGAGTAGTTATCTAGGACTGCAGTACATGTGTTCATAGTGTGAGGTTATCTCTGAGCCATCCAGCTACTCATCAGACACAGATCTAGCTCACCTCTGGGAATGCTCTTCAGCTGGAGGTCACGCCTAACCTTTGCAAGGCTGGAGCAAGAATACAGAAGAGACACTAGGCTCCTTCTGAAGACCTTCTCTCATTTCTCATGGCAAGGAGCCTTACATGCATATGCATTGACATCACAGTATTCATGGCCAAGTTCTGTGCAAACGCTTCCTCCCATGCTGCTCTATGGCCACCCTCAGGCCCAGAGCTCTGCACATAGGTGATAAGGCTCTTGTTCAGAAGGACTGACTTGGGGAAGAAGACACATAGACCCTGGATGCCATTTGGACAGGGAATTATGGGGTTCTGGGTACCTGGAGAAAGTCCAGAGGGGTTAGCCTGGATTCAGGGTAGTCATGTGCCCTGGTTCCATGGACCTTTTGCCTTCAATGGGGAGGGAGGTGCAGTTGGGAGAGAGTCAAAACAGGAAGGCAAAAGTGGAAGCATGTGGGGCTCAATGCAGCTCAGGGCAGGGGCTCAGGCTCTCCAGTATACTGATAATACTGTTCCCACCTGTTATTTCAGTTTGGGCCAATTAGGTTCCCCTTAAGTCCTTCCCTTCCCTCTCATGCCTCCATGTTTGTGAAGCATAGGATCTTTGAAAGTGGTCACAGTACCTCCTGGATGTGGCCTTTATTCATTTTTCTATTTTCACCAGCTCTCAAATGTAAGTGATGAAGAGTTCTCTCCTAACCAGAGAGTGTGATAAGGAATCCTCATTGATATGATTCGAGGGCAAGATATCCTTGTTACTGGTGCCTGAACCCCATCCTAGTCATTGTTTCTTTGGATTAAGACTTGCGGGCCGGGCACGGTGGCTCAAGCCTGTAATTCCAGCACTTTGGGAGACTGAGGCGGGTGGATCACGAGGTCAAGAGATCGAGATCATCCTGATCAACATGATGAAACCCGGTCTTTACTAAAAATACAAAAAATTAGCTGGGCATGGTGGTGCATGCCTGTAATCCCAGCTACTCAGGAGGCTGAGGCAAGAGAATTGCCTGAACACAGGAGGCGGAGGTTGCAGTGAGCCGAGATCGTGCCATTGCACTCAAGCCTGGGTAACAAAAGTGAAACTCTGTCTCAAAAAAAGACTTGCTTTGCTTCTAAAATAGGGGTCCTCTTGGGAGGGATAAGCCACACATTCCTAGTCCTCACTGTGAATGAAGTCATGTGATCCACTGGCAGGGGATGCAGGTCAGATGTATCTTCCAGAAGACCGTGGAAACCTTGGCACCCAAGAAAGAAGGGGACATACAGATGGGTAGTGTCAAACCAAACAGTGAGCTTCAGTGACCCTAAAGGCTTATTGAAGACTCATCCCACTTTCTAACCTACCTCCTTTGTTTGATGTTTTGAGTTTTGGAGTTTGGTATTTTGGAACTGAAAGATCTGAGAGCCAGCCTTGACTCTGTCACCTATGTAACCCTGAGCAAATCCTCTCTGAGGGGACAAAAGTAACACCTGTGATTCCTTCCAACAGAGTGGCTGTGAGAAGCCAATGAGACAATTCATGGAAGATGCTTTCAACCACACAAGTTGCCAAAAGGATGGACTAGGAACTGTGCTTAGTCTGCCTGGACAAGAAAAACCTCTTTCTTTGACTTGTGTATCCAGAAACCTGGCTGTCTCCACTTTCATTTTCCTTTGTGTGAATTATTGCTTGGTACTTCTTACAGTGCTGTATGCATTATGTGCCTAATAACATGGTTATACAAACAAGGCCATGAGATTTGCTGGTAGATGCATGAAGGAAAGGGTGGCTGAGTCTTCAGTCAGAAGATGAGTTTAGGGTTTTGGAAACTCCATAATTGGAGCATCTTTGTGATCCTGGAAGTACTGATTATTTTCCCATGCCTGTTCCCAGCTAGCATGAATCTGGGCAATGGGATAGTTTTTTTCTCAATCTGTTTTTATTCTCACGAGTGTGCAGAGCTATAGCGTGGAGTTGTCTTTTTCTTATCTGAGAGCAGCACACTTACAAGTTTATTTAAGTAGCCCCTGTGTGGCATGTTCCCTCCAAATATAGTCAATGCCTTATTTTTGGCAGCAAAATTTACTTTGTAGAGTAACTTTATTTCCCTGAAAGATGCATTTCAAAAACCTACTTATTTCTTCCCATTTATCACCCAACAGACTTACCCTACAATTTACTCTGAATGCTCTTGGAGAATAAAATTAATTAAAATATTAGCTTGAACCAAACAGGCATTGGAAGGCCATTTAAATTTTTTTCATATAAAATCATATATTACATTCTTAAATCTGGAAGGTTAGCATTTGGATTAAAAAGTTAACAATGATATAATTTATTGTCATTATGTTCACCCCTTTCATTAAGAGTGCAAAACAAGAGTTGATTGTATTAAATAGGAGCTCTTTATATTCGACAACCAACCCCCCTCTGCTTTTCAGCCTAAAGTGTGTCAATTTTTCACTCAACTATCTGTAATACTTCCCGATATTAGTGTCTGCTTGTAATTTTATAGTGAATGAGAGTGCTGTGTTGTTATCAAGTGAAATGAAAATACCTGTATGTGTAGAAAATCATGGAGCGCCATGTCCTGTGAATTCCACCACCTTTCCTGTTTTTTTCCTAGTTGTAGTGAGACGGTTCTTTGAGTGAACACTAAGTAGTTTCCATGATCATGTGATTTGTGAGATCGGTGCTAACTCATGCTGCTGCTGCCTGCAGACTTCCCCTCTCCATCCTAAAGAGATTTAACTGATTTATAGATCCTCTTCCTAGAAGTCTGCTCTGGTAAAACCATTAATACTTTTTAGTATCTGAGTGCCAAGATTTGAAATCTGAGGACCTGTTTATGTCTATTACATAAGCTAAGGCTAAACCTGAACATGCTTAATATCCACACTTGCAAAGTGAGTAAGAGACAAACCTGTGAAATACATGCCATGTTCAGATTCATCCAACTAGCTGCCCACTTGATGGCTTCTCCAAAAACCGGTGGTAAGCCCCAGAAAACGGCGCTTGTGCCCATGTGTATCTATTCTGTTCTCTAAATACTTTCAGTATGCAAACAGATACACACATTGTCTTTTGCAGAAGGATAAAGATGTGGTTTTGTAAAATCAAACTGTTTCCATAACTAAAGTATAAGGGCAGATTTACAGTAAAGCTTTTGGAGATTGTGCCTACTAACTACAGTTTTAAAAATAATTGGAATGACATTAAGCAAGGCAATGTAGTGATCACTCCAGCAATTCCCGAAGCGTGAAACAAGTTCCATGCTTCTTATGAAAAAGAATGCCAAAGAATTTGTGAGATGATCAGGAAATTATAAATGAGTTCTATTCTTGAAAAATATGATATATTTTGGAATATATCCACATACAATGAGTCCAATTCTCCTTCCTAGGGTCGAAGTGAGAATATCAAATTCAAACCAGTCATTTCACAGCTGATGAAACTGAAGTCCAGAACGGGGAATATATTTGTTAACGGTCACACATCTGGTGACTATGAGAGCCAGGGTCAGACCCCAAGACTCCTAAAGTCCCGGGCTTTTCTACCACAGCGTTCCTGGATGCAGGGAGCATCAGAGTCTTAGAAAGGTCAGGATCCTTTTCAAGAATCCTTGAGGTGACTGTTCAACCCCTGTCTGGCCTTCTCTAGAGACCCCTTACTTAAGAAGTTTAGCAGAGACATTCCTGGTTTCTTTTGCATGCCAAGTTTAGCTCATTCTACCCCTGGGAACTCACAGCATAGGCATAGAGGCCAGGAGAATTTAAGGAAGAACTGCTAAAAAATGTTTAAAGACACTCTTTCTTTACCTTGCCTAATTGGGCACCCCTAGGAATCTAAAAGGAAAACCCTAAGCCCCTGTTCATGAGAACAGCTGCCCTCCCCAGGAAAGCAGAGGAGAGAAATAAAGAAGCCATATTTGGCTGAATGTCCAGATGGGTGGGCAGACCCTGTGTGCTCAGAGTTTAGTCACACTGAAGGCCGCCTCCTGCTTCTGCCGGTGAGGACAAGAGAGGCGGGAAGGCTTTTGGAACAAGGTGAGACTCGAGCTGGACAGAAGCAAAACGTGCAGAGAAACAAAAGGATGACAATACCATCTAGCAAAAGAAATATTTCTCTTTCTTTCTTTCTTTCTTTTTCTCTTTCCTTCCTTCTTTCTCTCCTTCCTTCCTTCCCTCCCTTCCTTCTCTCTCTTTCTTTCTTTTCTTTTTTTCTTCTTTCTTTCTTTGTCTGTTGCCCAGGCAAGAGAAACATTTCCCTCTCTCCCTTCACTCCCTCTCTCTCTCTCTCTCTCTCTCTCTCTCTCTCTCTCTCTCTCTCTCTCTCTCTCTCTTTTCTCTTTCTCAAAGTCTTGCTCTGTTGCCCAGGCAAGAGAAACATTTTCCTCTCTCCCTTCTCTCTCTCTCTCTCTCTCTCTCTCTCTCTCTTTCTCAAAGTCTCACTCTGTTGCCCAGGCTACAGTGCAGTGGTGCCATCTCTGCTCCCTGCAACCTCTTCCCCACAGGTGATCACTCTTCAAGTGATCCTTCTGCCTCAGCTTCTGGAGTAGCTGGGATTACAGGTGCCTGCCACCACACCCAACTAATTTTTGTATTTTTAGTAGAGACAGGGTTCCACCATGTTGGCCAGGCTGGTCTCAAACTCCTGACCTGAAGTGATCCAACCGCCTTGGACTCCCAAAGTGCTGGGATTACAGGAGTAAACCACTGCACCCGGCCTGAAACACTTCTTTTATCTGCTTTTGGAGGCCGAAATTGCAGTTCACTGGAGGGGAGGGCCTCTCACACAATGATGGGATTGTCATTCTTGGGAGAGGTATCTCAAAAATTGGAAAACACATAGAGTCATAAGAAAGGAATACCAGAGCCTTATCTGAGAATGGGTTTTGATGGGATTGAGGCAGGGGGCCAAGGACAGAGAGACACTGGCTGTATGAAACAGGTCTATGTGATGGGCTGAGGGAGGCATTTCATAATGAGGAAAAAAAGGATATGGAGGGAAAGATTATTGGAAACAAATTTGGCTGACTTTAATGCTAACAGCAAGGAGAATCTGCCAGGTATTGGGCTGAGCTGAGTATGTTACAGGAATTGTTTCAGTCAGTCCTCATATAGTCCTTTGAGTCAGGGGCAAGTATCACTCCCACTCGACAGATGAGGAGACAGCCTTAACTCACAGAAGTTGCTCAAGGTCACATAAGTAGTGAATGGTGCGCTGAAATTTGAAGCCCAGTAGTTCAATTCCAGAGCTCAGGCTTTTCATCACTCTGTGCTGCCGCCTTCCTATGATGTTTTAGGCCTTCTTTAGGCTTTCTAGTAAATCAAATAAACACCTCTCCCCTTAAGCCCAATCATTAAGTGATAAATCATCATCTAAATTAACCAGATGTTCTCAAAAACTGAGAATAACACCACTGCCATCTTTATTTTTCCTTCTCCAAGAAGTTCTATTCACCTGTAACAACTAATGCAGAGGTCCTTAACTTTTGAATGTCTTGGGAGCTTCTGGCATCCGGTGACATTTATAGTTTCTTCTCAAAATAATGCTTTCAAATTTATTCAATAAAATACATAGGAATATAGAAGAAATCAATTATATTAAAATGCAATTCTCAAATTAGTTTAAGTTTGTGGTATAATTATATAAATATTTATATTTCATTTCTTTATATTAAATCTTTAATATCTTTCACAATAAGATGTAGCATCAGGGCTAACAACTACCATGATTTTGAAGTAGCAATGAATGTAAATGATATTTTGAGATCTCTCCAAACTCCAGTGAGATGTAAAATATCTATGATTTCTCTTGATGACAGCCTCAGGGACTGCTAATACTGCTGGGGTTTGTTGGCTGCTTCTTAATGGCGGGAAATGTAAAGTTCAGTTACAGGTTAGTGAGAATAACAATACATTATTTTTCCCATCCAAGTTCACAGTCCCCTGAACTTGGGGATACCCTGCCCCAGGAGAGACCAAAACAGTGGAGGGAGCACTGGGAGAAATGGAGATGGCAGGAAAGAGGAGGCCCACACATTTAAATGGGATTAAATCAATAGATCTTCACTGGATGCTTTTCATGTAAAGATGCCAGTGGGCATTGTGGTTCACTGACTTTCTATCTCTGTGCCTTCTCAGTGGCCCCAGTTTGATCTACATGACAAAGATTCATCCAAGAAGCTAGGGAGGGTTTCTCCTGGTAAGCTGGAGTTCCAGGACTCTTTCACACAATTATTTAACAGACATTTCTTGTCCTAGGCTCAGATGTTACAAAGGTGAATGACGCGATTCCAGCTCCTGTCCCTGAATGATTGCCTTTAAGAAGAGAGGGTATTTTGGTTGCCAGGAGACACAAAGAAACACCCTGTGAAAGCAGCATCGCACATTTTCTTACCAAGACTATTGCTTTACTCTCTTACTTATTGCTTTTTGTTCTTACATGAATTATTTTGCTTCTGCTGGCCTCATTTCATTTTTGTTGGTTGTTTTACATATTTTTGAGTAGAGTGATACACTTCTTTTATTTTTATTTTTTCTTGTGTCTTAAGCAATTAAGAGAGTAAGTTTTCCTTTGAGCAGAGTTTTACCTTTGGTTTGTTATGTAGAATCTCTAGTTCTGATGTAGCCCTTTTTATTCCGTTATATTTGATATATGTATAACATAGTTCATGCTTTCTATATTTTTTATGTATTTAAGAGTTGAAACATTTTCATTTGTTTATTATTACCTTTTGTTTGTCACGATATTTTTTTCTTCCAGGGTAGGCTGGTCATTTTTCTCTCTATTCCTTTGATTCTTCTCTCTCATTATTTCACTTCTTTTCCTTTCTCATAGTTGTGCATAGTTTTCCTGTTGTGATTATTTTTATTTTATTCATCTTAGAACCACTCTATTCCCCAGTGTGCTGACCAAATCAGGGTGACTGAATTTTCCTTTTTCGACTTCCTCTTTATCTGCTTGCTTCCTCTGTTTATGGCTTCAGTTAGATAGTTGGTGCTCCACAGTTCATATTGCTGGGGATGGGGGTGAGAGAACTCTTTGTAGCCATAATTGGTGGGCCGTGTCTTTATTGTGTTATTTTATTAAAGTTCTATTCTGGAATTCAGTTTTGCTGGCACTGCATATCCCATCCTTGGGGGTGATGCTTAGGGTTTTGGATTTTTTTTTTTTTTTGACTCAGAACTACAGAGCCTTCACTTTCCTCAGTGATAATCTGCTCTAGATGAGTTACTCTTAGTTTTATCTGCTTTTTGTCCCTGTCTACCTCTCTTTTTATTCTCCCACTCATTTGGTAAGAAAATTGGAAGGCTTCTGGGTAGAGTATTTTACACTTGTCTGTCTAGATTCCCTCTCTACCCTGCTGTATCACCTAGAGACTAACCTTTTGGACTATATCATTGAGCAACATTTCCCTCTAGTTTCTTGCTGGATTAGGTCAATGGCAGGCACTAATGGGATGTTAGAAGGTAAAGCAGAGTGAGGTGAGAATTTGTCCAGTTGAGTCCCAGCTTTCCAGATCATGAGGGCTGGCAGCCTCCCACCACCATTGGGCAACTATCTGCTG